TGAATGTATAGAATGGGTCCTTGGGAAGCAGGATGCCCAGATATTTGATGGCGTTGGGGGCCCATTTAAAGGGAAAGTTGTGCAGGACTCTGCGTAGGCGTGATCCGGCGAGTAGGACATGGAGAGCTTCCGATCATAGTATAATTTCAGCATTGATTACAAGAGCCTCTACAAGTACAGAAACATATGTAGTATCAATGTAAATAGGTTTTGCATAACTGTCTAATGATGTTATACAAATTCGACAAGTATAAAAATTATAAACTATCAACTATTAGTAACACCGTGTGAGTATATTTCTACAATTTGATTCAACATGTATAGCACCCCCTCAACCCCCAAAGGCATGTAATGGACCCCAGAGGAAGGTGGGCTAGCATTTCACCTCAGGGGTTAATCCTTGGCTGGTTGTTGTGTGCCAGTCTCTTAAAGTGTTATAAAGATTTTATTCCTCAGAGCAGATCACTAGGAGAGAGGGATAAGAGCTACTGAGACCCACAGCAAGTGCAGACTCCATATTAAATTTTCAGCTGTACAGCGTAAAGACCCTTTAAGCTGAAACCAGCGTTACTGTATATAGCAGAACCTTAGCAGACTCCTCCGCACATCCTCCTTGTAGAGTTACCAAGCCCCTGCAAGAATCCAGCTTCTACACAGCCTCACCTTCCAGAAAAGTTACTCATCCTGGTACTCCATCTTGGGTCAGCTTCCCCTCAGGCAGAATAACTTAAGACCTAAATCCAGGCCTCCATCTCTGGAAACATGCAGGACTTTATTAGGCAGCAGAACTACAATCAGCAACACCCCTTCCCCAGTCAGGAGCCCGTGTCAAAGAACCTCCACTGGTTCACCAGGGACACACAAATATTCATAATTCAGCATTATTGGATTTTTTTGCTCTATTGCCAGTCATACCCCAGCAAGCAAAAATAAACAATCACACTGGGCTTAGTGGAGAAGACATGAGCAAATCTCTATCAATTTAGATTAGGCTGTTTACAGCCTAACAAACCTAAATTTAATGAGTCACGCCACTTAGGCCAAGGTGGATACACATATACTCATTACTGTATGTCATTGGTATATTGTGGTGGCATTTCACTGCCTTAATTAATCTAACCCTTGAAGCAAGCACACACAGATCATTGGAGTTAGGGTATGTCTACATTCAGAAAGTTGCAAATATTTATGGTTTCCTTAACCATCTATCCCAGATTGTGTTATATTTGGTAGAGCAACCTCCTTTGTTTGCAAATAATTATTTTTAATATGGTACTATGTACTTAATCGCACATACTAATTGAGGGAGTATGGGGGATAGAGCTTGCATAAAGTTTTGCCAGTTAGTTTTGGCAAAAACTAACGCCCCCTTTGCTCTGGCATTTTAATGTCCTGTGTGTCATCACGTACAATATAGTGTACTGCACAAGAGGAAACCAAGGGACATTCCATCACTGGGGCGGAGGAGAGAGTTTACAGGGATTAGTCTAGCATCTGGCTGTCTTTGAGGTTCAGGTGAGTATATCTTTATTTTCATTCCTAGATGAAAACTTGCACTTAACCCTTGCACTGTGGGGGTAGCCCGCAAAGGTTAAGATTATTTTTGCTTTGAGTTCTAGACCATTCAAGTTTATGCTTGTCCTTTCCCTATAAAAATGGTTTGGTGGGTTTCGTCTGGCGTGACCAACCTATGGAAAGTCTTATTAGCTTTGGAACAGGCACGTTCTAATCCTTCATTAGACTTTGCCATCATCACCCTTGCCGCTGAGAAAGTGTTTAATAATGGGAATCTGAGATGGCTGTTTCGGGAATTGACGGAATTCAGGTTTTGGGGGAGGGTTTTTTCCATTCCTCAAACAGTTATATACTTCCCCAATCGCTAGGATACTGACTCAGGCGGCGTTCTTTTCTTTTCAATTTGTCCCTGGAGCCGTTGGCGACTCACATATTACATTCCATGGCATCAAGGTGGGCGAAGCGGACCTCTGTTTGGCATTATTTGCAGATGGTGTTCTGTTGTTCACCTCCCGCCCCGGCAAGGATGCTCTAATCATTGAGGGTATGTTGACCCATAAAACTTTCTTGGGCCTTCGTATTAATTTTGAGAAGAGTGAAATCCTCCGTCGGGGACAGCACTGGCGAGTGTGAGCAGAAGTATGCGGGTGGCACAGCAACGCATAACTTACCTGGGCATGAAAGTAGGCAAGACACCCTCCTCCCTCTATCACCTCAATTACCCCCCTCTAATACATAAGATCTGCAAGGAACTGGATATGTGGAGGGACCTTCTCCTATTGCTCTCTGGGAGAATCCACCTTTTCAAAATGGTTAGTTTCGCAATGCTGCTATATCCATTAGAAACTCTCCCCTTGATGTTGAAAACAACTGATATAGCTTGCCTGACTAGAGCTATGTCCACCTTTATTTGGCAGGTGAAGAGACCGAGGATCTCTTTTAAGAAATTGTGGCTGCCGAAGAGTGAGGAGGGAACTAATCTCCCTAATATTAAATTTTACAATATAGCTTGTCTACTTCATCATGCATTGGACTGGTTCTCAGACAGCTCTATGTATTCCAATACTCACCTGGTAGCGGAGCTTATTGCTCCATGGGATCTCAAAGCCATTCTACATTGCAGGACCTCCTCCCTACCCCAATGCATTCCACACATCTTTTTTTAGAAACCCGATCAATGCATGGAGGAAAGTAAGGAAAGCACTACAAGTTTCCCTTTACATGTCTTCATATTGTCCAATATTGGGCCACCCCCTATTCGCTCAAGGCTTGGACTACTCAGCATTCCATAAATGGAAAGGTTTTCATCACTGGAGTCAACTGTTTCATCCCCGTACCGTCTCCCTTTACTCCTTCCAGGAATTGAGACACCAATCTCATATTCCCTCTCGAGACTTTTTGCACTTTCTACAGTTGAAAACCACATGGCACAGTTTCTCGGGAACACCAAGGGCACTTTGTTCCTGGATGTACTCGTCTTGAGCAAGTCTTAACCCCTTCGTGACTGACTACGATTTTATATTTCATTAAAAAAATTGGTATTTTGTTGTGTTTTGGGGCATTTAATTAAATTTTTCACTAAATATTGGGGTTTAATAAGGAGTTGCGCTAATATTGCGCAACATAAAAATTGGCAACTACCACCATTTTATTCTATAGGGTCTTGGCATTCAGAAAATATATAATGTTGGGGGGTTTTAAGTAATTTTCAGGCCTAAAATTTGGAATATAACATGGGTACAAAAAAAATGAAAAAAAGGCCTCAGTCATGAAGGGGTTAATCCATCTCAACGGTGTAACCAAAATTACAAGCCTTATACCTATCTCCCCTCTCGAAGTCAGCTAGGAAAGGATGGCAGAGAGACTTCGATGACCCGGATTTATTCCCTAAACTTCTGGCTTGCTTTCCAAAAATAAGAACGGTGGTAACAAATGAAACCTGGAGGGAGACCCAATTTAAAATCTTACACATAGCCTATGTACCGTTTTTTGTGCAAGCAAATGCATTGACCACCGCTGATCACTGTTTTTGGGCATGCCCAGCCGTGTCTGACTTCTGGAACCAAGTTCTGATCTAAGTTAATACCATAATCTCCTGGAAACCTGACCTAGATCATGCATTATGTCTGTTTGGGTACTTTGACCATTCCACTAGACATCTTAGTCATAACAACTACAAGGGCTTGGATTGGTTACACATCTGTTTCCTGGTGGGTTGGAGATGTCTAATGAGACACTGGAATGCCCCCACCGTTCCTAGGATACAAGAGCTCATTAGTGATTTGAAATTGTTATTGGCTAAGGAAAGGCTGGATGCCGAAATGCATAAAGACAGCCATGCATCATCTTTTTTCCATAGATGGAAATACTTTATCGCCAAATCCTTCACAACTTAGGAAAAGTCACCCACCTGGTGCGGCCCTTTAGATATACTAATTGGTATTTGAAAGCAGATGTGTCGAATGCACTGGGGAGTCTGCGCCTGGATTCGGACTAGGTTCTTTTGCTTATTACTGGAAATGGCCTATACCTATGATGTTTGCTACACTGACATACGCAAATTGATTGTAACCCGTTAACAATACTCTTATTTTCCCTGATATGTGTTGAAAAATTAAATACAATTTTGTTTTTAAATGGTTTGCATATGGAATCTATCATTTTTAATATTTTTGGGGGCATGTAGAAAGTCAGATTATATATAGGATTTTAGGGAGAAGGATCATCTTATTTAGGCTTACGCAGCCCGTGAACCCCAGGTTATGTTTGGACCAAGTCTGGACCTTTTGTTTTATTATAGTAGGCTCCCAATTTAGGGTGAGTTGATCTAGTGGGTCTTTTGAAATAAGAATACTTAGGTTTTTAATTATGTTATAATAAGTGTAAGTTAAGTTTCTTTAGACATGGGTGGTGAGCATATTTGGGACTTTGACCGGTTAATAGAAAGGCCAGAGTATTCTCCAGATTTAGTAATGACTTCAAAAGCTGTATTTTTGGAGATGGTCCCTGGTCTTCTAGATACAGGGGTATGTCATCTGGCATGACACTACAGTCAGCTTTCCCTGATCGGGGGGGAAAAGGTTTCAATAGCCATCTGTTAACACTAATTTCATCAGTAGGGCTGAAATATAGGAATTTGAGACATTTCTGAAAAATAGGTCCAATGCCATATTTTTGCGGGTCTGACGCAGGAATTCCTACTTTACTGAGTAAAATGTTTTAGCAGCATCTAAGCTTACCACAGCTCTGATGCCCACATAGTAGCTTGTACGTTTATAAGGTGATCCCTGTTTGGCCAGGATGGATTTGGATCATACAATTTTAAACATTTTTAATTCTGGGATTCCCAATGATTTTCAATACCTTTACTATCTTTTTGATTCACAGTTAATTATACCAATGTTCATTCAACAAATGTGCTTGCAGTTTGGGCAAACTATTTACTTGTTCTAAAATTTATCTGGATTTACTTCTGCAGCGCACCTCAATTTCTAATTCCAATACTTGTGGAAAAGTTTCCTTATGTCAACAAATCTCCAAGAGTTTTGGTAAGAATTACAACTTTTTTTGCATATTGTAGAAACATGTATTTTTCTTTTTAGAATTGTTTTTTGTAATTGTCTACTGCTTATCACTGATTTGTAAGTACCTTTAAGGAATATAAAGGCCTTTTGTTTGGAACATTTGTTTAGAAAAAAAAACACAGTCCCCTCTAGATGATCAATGCACATTGCAAGAATATTAGCAAGCTTTTTTTTGCAGATTCTACATTATATTACTTTTTTTTTTTTAAGATTACCTATTTCTGTTCTGAAGAAAAATCTGCTTATTTCACCATGTCCTTTCCAGTCTAATTTCTGAATGTGAGGAGTCTGGTTCAATGTAACCACCTGTTACATTTTCAGAGTTCTAGTTATTTAAAGTTTCAATGTCTGCATCCCTTTAAAAGTAGTTACTCCTAGCGAGAATCTCACAAAAAAAAATATTTTGCAGGGTATACCTGAAATGTTACTTTTATCTTTGTGCTTTCTTTTGGGAAAATCTGTGAGCCAATCACACAAGCATGAAATTACATTTCTGGGGGCATTCCGTACACCAAATGTGTACAGATCACATCCATGTTTTTTATTTAACAGTTTTGGGAAATGACAGACGTTTCTGATTGAATTGGATAGGTAATTAATAATAACCTTAAATTAGAAAATCTTGTCATGATTTGATTGCTCAGAAGAAATAAAAAAAAAAGGTAAAATATCATTGCAATGGGTAACATGTTGCTTTTGTTGGTACAAAAACATATAGAGAAATCAGTAGTGGGAGACGATTGCTGTAGCTTACCTTGTGTAATATTATAATTCTAATCTAGTAAGAAACTTTGAGCAAGGATAAACAATGTTTCTCTCAATGTTCATTGGGGGACACAGTAGACCATTGAGTACATGCCTTGCCACCACAAGGTTAAACACTAAGAAACAAAATGCAGATTACATGCTGGAGGCAACTGTCACAACAGCTTCCCAGGTCTTGTAGAGTCACTGCCACAGCCACCAGTATACTTAGTCATACCTTAATCACCAAGCCTTGGAGATTTACTGTAGCCTCTGCTCCCAGGACATTTACCTTCAAAATAGCTCAGTATCGCACAGAAAAACCATGTCCTGGGGGTCCACTGAATCCTATTTTCCATCTGCACATGGTGTCACACATACAAACTTTGAAGGTTTACTCCTGCATTAGCACCCATCTCTCTTCAGGAACGTAAAGCTGTTTCTTGGGGTTGTGGTTGTGCCCCGTGGGAGGCGGTTCAGGGGCTCTTTCTGACTCCCTTTTTTGCTCTGCTTTACCGGAAACACTTTATCATTTGCAACCCTGAACTAGATGGACAAAGCACATGCAGGCAACCCTTTTTTTGCTGTCAGAACAGCGGTGTTAGAGCATATCTCCAGTACCTCCTGCATTCCTGCACATTTCAGCTGCCTCAATCCAGCTTCTCAGACCCTGGGAAAACAGTAGACTGGTGTGCCAAGAAACTATTACCTTCCCTCCCAGATCACTGCATCAGGACTTAAGCTTGAAGGGAACTTCTCTATTCCTAATTGACCTCTTTGACTGGCTTGCGCAAGTCAGAAGGTTCCTATGCAATACCTCACTAGATACAGCTTGCTTCATCTCCTGTTCTCTGCAGCTATTACCTAAAGAAGACCCTGTGGCTTCAATCCTGTTCTGTAAATCATTAGTTGCTCTTCCTTTTACTGGCATTGAAGTGTTGCAGGTAATTTCATTCACAAGAGAAGAGGTCCAACATCCTTTCCTCCTTCATTGAAGCAGAAATCTCAGCCTAAACAAAAGTCCTTATAGGCCACCAAGGCATCCAACAAATCTGTGTTGCCATGAAAGTTTTGTCTCCCCTTTAGCCAAAGGGAGGACTTCTGATGTTTGTCACTTTTGGGCTTAGCATTTTCTCAGACAGGTAAGGAAAGTGGTTTTAACTGGCTACAAGATATTTTCTCTCTCGCCCACACAACAGGTTTTTTTTTTTTTGCTTCACATTCTTTTATGCATGTCACCACACTGTACAGGACCTTATTTCTCAGGGAATTGTGGTTTCTGTTCTGCTAAAAGGAATTGCAGCATTTTCCTAGCGATATATGAACCCATCTGGTAGATTCCCTATCATTTGTTCTAACCAATATCTCCATACTTAACCATCATCCCCTTTACGACCATGCCATTTTTCAGTTTTTAGTACTGTGATACTTTAAAAATTACTGAGTCATTTGCTAAGAGGCATGGGGAGAGTCTTTTGAAGATCTATTTTTTTGTCACAAGTTCTTGAAATATGAAGAAAATACATTTTTCTTTTTCTCTCCTCATTTTTGCAACAAGCTCCTGGAAAATGAAATCTGCAAAAGATTAACCATGCCTCTTCACAAATACCTTGGGGTATCTGCTTTCCAAAATGTGGTCCTTTTGCAAGTGTTTTCACAGTCCCGGCACTTCACAGCCTCACAAAATGTGATAGGTACAGCTGTGAAGGTGAATGAGGCCCGTTCTAGTTTCTTTTCGATCACAAATGGCACCCAACAGGGTTGCCCTCTTTCCCCCCTTATTTTTATTTTGTCCCTGGAACCTTTTTTGTGTTCCCTCCTTGCTGATTCTGTGATTTACAGGCCTGGGCATGGGGTCGGGTACCTATAAGGTGGCCGCATTCGCGGACTATTTAGTATTTTTTCTTACACGCCCCCAGACCTCCCTTCCTAAGTTAATGCTGGCTTTGGACAAATACAGTGCTTTGGCGAACTTTTAGGTCAACCTCTCCAAGTCAGCGGCCTTGGCAGTGTCGATTCCTGAGGCCGAAGTGGAATGGCTTAAGAGGTCCTTTCCTTTTGGCTGGACCAATCGACACATTCATTACCTGGGTACGTACATCACTCCCGACCTTTCCGGTCTCTATTTAGCCAATTTTGTTCTGCTCCTGCAAAATATTCAGAGGGATTTTGAGGGGTGGAGGTAGCTGTCTGTGACCTGGTTTGGCAGATGCAGTGTAATTGCCCAGGAGCTTCTTTGGTCAACGTTGTCTCTTCCTGTCTTACATCTGGGCACAACGTTCGGCTAGGATCAGTTTTCTAACCTTGACCATGCCTAAAATGCGGGGGGAATTGGTTTGCTGTATTTGAGTTTGTACTATAGGGCAACTCATTTACACAGGGTGGTGGACTGGTGTACTTGGGTCTCTGAGAAACAATGGTTTAGGATGGAAACGGATATCTCAGCTTGTCCTCTAGCTTGTCTGCCTTGGCTCTCATCCCCTCTCCCTCTGGATCTCTCCTCACCCCACTAAAGGGGCCACACTCGGGGTGGTGCGCTCGGCCTTCAAAACTTTGGCTTTCTCCCCTTTTCCGTCTCCGCTTATTCTGGTGCTGGGTGATCCAGACTTGGCCCAGATCTGACTGATGCTAACTTCCTTCGATTGCGGAGGTCTGGTAGGTTCAGAGTGGTTGACTTTCGCTCCAATGGACGATGGCTTGATCTGCCAACTCTTAAGGAGCTGACTAGTCCCAAGATGGCCATGTGGAGTGGTTACCAGCTAAGGCACTTTCTTTCCTCTATCCCCAGGCCTGAGGCCCTGGACAGGAGTCTAACAGATTTTGAGTCTCTATGTAGGACTGACACTCCGGCCCGACATGCACTCTCCAATATTTACAGATGATTGAACGTGCCGGCCCATACCTTCCTTTTTGACTGGATGGAAGTCTGAGTTGGGGGTGTCCCTTACCGAGTCCCAGAGGGAGACTGCTATACTTGGCTCACAAATCCTCCATTGCGGATACTTTCCAGGAACAAGGGTATAAAATTACCTGGTCCCCAGTGTCCTCCACAGGATGAAGTCCCCGATACCCTCCTTGTGCTGGAGGTGCGGTGAGGCGGAAGGCACAATGCTTCATGTTTTCCGGACCAGCCCTGGCTTGGACTTCTGGGACTCGGTTCGGGACATTATCAATAGATTGGTGGTGGGTGGCCCAGATTATTATGGCCCCTGCATGTTATCTACTGCACTTGACCTCCACATCTAGAGCTAAATACAAAAAAATCCCTTTCACAACATCTCTACTCTGCCTGGGCTAGTATCCCTCTCCTCTGGCGCCAAACACAGTCCCCCTCTATCCGCCTGTGGTACTCCAAAATTAATGAGGTCTGTTGTATGGAAGATCTGACCTCTAGGTTACACAATACGGAGGATGTATTCCTCGATACCTGGAGACCCTGGCTCTTTTTCAGGGAATCAGACAAATACCTTATGCTTCCTGGAACCTCTTTGGGTCCTGTTGGGAGTACTCTCCCTTCTCCCTGATATGCTGGATCCTTTTTTTTCCCTGTGATACTGTTTCTGTACTACTGCATTATGACACAGTTCTCTACCTCCTCTATGCTATGTATCAAGTATCATATGTTATTTGTATTGCAGTTGGGTCAATAAAACATTTGGATTTTAAAAAATTATAATCAGTAGGCAGGAAATCAGATACTTGTAGCCTGTAGGTTCTCCTTGAATTTTGGGCCCCACTGTGTAGCTAGGTTGTAAAAAAAGGTCTCACACTTGTGGTATCTTCACACTTGGGGAGGAGTTGCAGAATTTGTTTTGGAGTGTAACTCTTTGTCCATACTTTGAGAAATATCTGAATAAAATGACAACTTGGTGTGAAAAAAACATTTTCATTCTCGTTTGCTCATTTTCCAACATTTGGTACTTTTTGTGGGTGTTTCTACTCTCCTGGCCTCCAAAAATGTGATAGGGAGGAAATCAGATGTATGATTTATGCCCTTTGAAAGCCTGAAGGCTTAGCAGGAGCTGCAGAATGTGCTTTGGGGTGTAATTCTATGTTTTCCTATGCTGTGTGAGAGAAATATCTTATTAAAAGGCACATTTGTGTAAAACAAAAATGACACAATGTTGTCATTATAATAATAATTGAGAATATATACTAATGTCCTCCTGTGATCCAAAACTCAGCATATAGCAGGCTATTGCGCAGTACAGAGCTGCGCT